CTACTACTACTACTACTACTACTACTACTACTACTACTACAAATTGGCGTCGCGCGATGCAGCTCCAGACCACTGACCAACTGAACCGGCAGGCCAGCCTATCTGAGATCGAAGAATGGGTCAAACAATTCTAACTGTGGTGCAGCGATCGTGAAGGTGGCGCCCAAAACCAGTCAGCCCTTTTTCTACTACTACTACTACTACTACTAGTAGTAGTAGTAGTAGTGGTAGTAGTAGTAGCAGCAGTAGTAGTAGTAGTAGTAGTAGTTGTTGTTGTTGTTGTTGTTGTTGTATGTTGACCTCATGGTTCGGTTTTTCTGGCCCTTATATAAAAATTCAACCGGTATAGTCACCAGATGACGAATATTTGATTTACAACTCAAGGTTTAGTATTGCATACACTTTACTTTGTAGATTTTCTCTGACATATAGTGAAAATTCCATTTAGGTTTCTCTGCGAGTTTTCCACCTTATAAATCCGGTAGGGACAAATCTGTGATCAATGACCCAAGGAATAAGAAAAAAATAAACCATATAGATCACGGGAAACAAATAGGTGACCATATATAGATTGTAAGCCCTTTTGTGGACTCGGTTGATTTCCCCAATCCACTTCGCCTCATTCACCTTCAATCGATTGCTCGAGCAAATGGATCAAGTGCACTGTACGGAAATTCATCTATACCGGTCTGTTTTGCACTGGTATTACGTGGTTCTAAGTTTGAAATCTAACTGCTTAGCTGGGTAATGTCACAATGTACCAGAAAGTCCCTCCGGATTTAATTGTTACCATTCTGGCTATAGGGCTAGTCACATCAACAGATTGAAGAACCTCATTTTGTAAATAGAACAGTGTGTCAAACAGACTTGGCGTCAGTAATTCGTAGTCATTCTTTATAGTCCACCTTAGAATGATGAACGGCAGACGAGGAAAGCCCCTTGGTCACAAGGATCCGCTGTTCAATGACGGAAGCCGGGAAACCTAAGCCCCGGGGGCTTGGAGGGATTGGTGAACCACATAAAGCACCGCTAGATTAGGCGTGTTAATGAGCCGGATTAAAGCAAAAGTATCCACCACCAAAGTTAGGGTTCAAAGCCTACCGGTTACGGCGGCTACACCACTGCGCCAATATTTCACAATAAGTTCGTCAATATACATGTATATATATCATTGGCTAATCCTAAACGTTGTTTTGGGGAATAGAAAACTGACACTTATGGTTACTTGGCACTAATTTCATCATGAGATCCGATACGGGGGTCACAATGAGGGCTGAGATATTAGCATTAAGATATTTGCTGCTGGGGCTCACTGAAAATTAACGTGTTCGCCACTCGGTGTTATTTTTGCAGTGTGCTCTGTAGGACTGTTTGGACGATACCAATTGTTTGTTAGGCCATCTGATAGTCAAGACTATCCGGAATTTGCAGTGTGTGTTGGGGTGGCCCAGAGGAAATGAGACCCCCACGTCAACTGTTTTCAGGCCCATCGAGGGAGGTGTGTGTGGGGCGTTATACAAAAGAATTCCCAACACTTCTGCTGTGACCAACACTGATAGTCGGCCTCGAACCCTGTACAAGAGGTGGAATGGTTCTGCCACCACATTCGCAGTGTGATTTGTTTCAGCTCTAGATGTGAAAACACTGCACTATGCTGAGTGACCTGATTGTTCCTGTGTTCATCCATGAGAGTTGGTGTTCACGGATTCAATCGAAAAAAGCCTGACAGTACGGCCTATGTAAGCTGTTTCACAAGAACACGTCAATTGTAGTACACACGAAATGAGGCGGAAAATATTATGTTTTCAACCTGGCTCAAAAAGGTAGCCGAAAATTTACTATCAATCGTCTCCGATAGTTGTGGATCAACTGCATGATGTAGCCATTGAGTGTCAAACCGAAAACTCATTGACACGTTCACGATAACGCCACCTGTTGAGCTGAAAACCTTGCGCTAGTGGCTGTGGCCAGATTAATGTAAGCTATCTGTTTATCGAGTTTGTAGAAGTTGAAGGACCTCAATCACCCTTACAATTAAACTATAGGAATCATTAGACACTGGAAACGGTGCTTATGGTATGTAATTCGCTGCATGCTACAGAAATCCCTTACCTAAGGCTCGGATGCAGTTCCCATATACCGATTTAGATATGTAGACCATCATCCTCTGTAATTTCGCACAAACAAGGTATGCACAGCGAGTCACAATTCTCTATGCGCTTAACAGCAAATGAGATGATCAATACGCATCCGTTTCCGCTAGTCTGTCCTCTCATCCCAATCGGAACGAACTGAGCCGGGCCGAAAAACTGTCCCTGTTTATTCACTCATGCAAGCCCTGATGCTTGTCCTCACCATCACCACTTTTGATCACCAATGTGTTTTTCATAATCTGCCAGTAAGATCGATCAAGAGTTTTTTTCTCTCACCCTTATCTATCTTCAATTTTGTCATGGACTACTGTTTCTTTCTTTATGTTTGCTCCTAGCTCTATGCTTCATCGAGAGGAATTGAAATCCATTTCCATTTTCAACGATTTCTGGAACAAAAATCTCTTAGTAGAGATTCTGGATGACACATATCTGATTATTTCTTTCTCTGTCTCTCTGAATTTCTCTCCGGAATTGAGCTGCTTTGAATGACTCCCGCGATGAGGAGTTTATATACACATACACTAGCGAAAATCATATTGAACATAACGAACCATAAGGACAACTGTATCATGGACGATTTCAGCAATTGTGGTCGTATTGTTTTGGAAATCCTTTTCTTTTTTCTTTTTCTTTCTTTTTTAAAGAGGCTCTCTTTCGTTTCGCATCTCCTGATGCAAAAATTGACTGTTTTTCATGACCTAGTTTATCAATTAGAATACTCAGTAATCTATTCACGCATGTATTTGCAAAATATGCAAACAAAAATTCATTATTTTGTTCAGCTCATCAGTCATTTTTGGGTTTACTTCTAGCGCTATTCAATCACAAGACGTCGAGTTGTCTCCTTCATTGGTTGCCTCGTGGCGTCTGTGCTTACATTGTCCGTGGTCTATGGAGTCTACGGTCATCTGAGTGGCACGGCACCCATGTCCAATATGACCGCTTCCATCTATGCGGCACTGTCGCGGATCTCGTTCACTATCGGGATTGGAATTGTGATATATTTGTGTGCCACATCATGGACACGTAGGTCCTCCCCCCCCCTCACTCCCCGTTTCGGACCGATCACATGCTTTTGTTGTTGTTGTATTTTGCCCATCACGAGTGGAACAACCATCTCTGTGAGTTTCAATTCATCTGACAGTAAGCACCAATTCAGACAAAGCCATGTTCAGTATACTGTGGAGGAAAACTGTGATCTAACTGCTCGTACGGACAGTTCACGCGGTATTCCATTTGTAAATCTTTGGTCGATTATCTTGCCGGGCTCTGGCATCGCCTTGCGCAGTTTTTTTTAAGTTCCAGGTCACGATTTTGACTATTCGACCGATTTTCTTAATGTTTAGTTTAGGGGAACCACAATCGCCAGCACTTTGTTGATGCTGTAAATCCAACCCTGTGGATCTAGACCAATGTTTTGATGATCCGTCTCAGCCATGTGGTCAACTAGATAGTCAATTTATTTGTGGTGGGTGTATGTGCGTTACGATGGCTGTTCACATACCCAAAATCACATAAGCTCACAAAACAGGATCACACGTTAAGCAATCTGCAGAGAGGTGAAATAACATACTGTGATGTAGCCCAGCCACGTGTGGCGTGTCGTCTGCTCAGACAGTCAGGTCAAGGCTGAACAGCAACAGCGCTGTTATTACGGCATGTGTGTGTGTACGTTTTTACTTGCAAGCGTATGAGTTGATCGATAATCACCTAATGGCGCGTATATGTTCACGTGACTATCAAAGTTGGACGCAATAGTGACAAGAAAGTTTGACAATTATGAGGGCTTCGGTTGAATCTTAGAACTTCTCACGGATTGCTAATATGACTTCAAACATTCCCTGCAATCTGTCGGCTAACTAGTTACACATTGGATTCTCTTTCATAGGGCACCTCCACGGCAAGTCGCATCCGGTCTGCCCCGATCTCTCCAAGCGTTTCGACTGAGTTCAATATGACAGTGTTCTTGCTTAAACTTCCTAGTTTTGGACCCTTCCCGTGTTTCATTACTGCTAATGCATTGGCATAAATTGTTCTAACCATTTAAGGTATTCCACAAGAAATAAAATATAATTCACTATCATTCACTCTGCTGGCTCCCCATGACTGTAGTCAAACCGCCCACGGTTGGCTAAAGACGGGATCAGGAGGCGTAGATGGCTCACCGAAATGATCGCATTTCGTTTCACATCCAGTTTCAGTTTCAGTTTTTACAACAATTAACCATGCACTCTTGTGTGCCGGTTTTGGTTGGTGTCTTTTGATGCCCCGTTTGGATAAAACAGCAGAATGAAGATTGGAATGTTGAGAGCAAATTCAAGTGGGGCCTATGTGACTTAGTCTCCAGGTTAGGATTTTCATACCCTCATGCCAGGTATTTGTTTGACCTCCTTTGATCATTTTCCAATCGCTACCTGGGCAACTATCACTCCCCCGGAGCAGTCTATTTGATGACATGCTCAACACTTGCCTCAACCAACGTAATCTCTGAGGCTGGACCATTTGCTCCAGTGGACGACCACCGTTACCTAACGCCAAGTGTTGAATCTGGTGATGGAAAACATATTACCGAGATCTTTTCTAGTCTGACTCAACATTGACATTGGTTATGTCATCAATAAAGTTACAGTTATTTTCAGAAGCCCATTTCCGAGCTCAGTTGGCTATCTCAGCTAGGCTCGTTCTATCTCGACTTCAGTGGCCAAGGACACAACGACTCACACATGCGAGAAGATTTAGAGGATTCTCCACTGTACAAGCCTATTGGGGCTTTAATTATCCAGCAATGTTCTCTTAGCAGTGTTATAATTCGCATTTACCTCACAGTTATTTGTGAGTAGTGGTGTGAGATAATTCATATTGACTTGAACTGACAATCGCTTGAACTTCACATTCAAACAGAATCCTCAGTTTATCCAGTCGATCATACACTAGAAAGCACTAGACTCGAGTTTTGTTCCTAATAGAGCTTATCAGTGGCAATAAAAACGCCTTCTATACGATGGGTTCGAACTTCAAAGCCCGAACGGTGGGACGGTGGATTTGCACCATTGAAGAGCTCTAATAAGAGCGAAAATATAATCGAGTACTTCCGAGTGTGTATGGTTGACTGGATGAACTTCGGATTGTGTGTGAATGTGAAGTTCGAAGGATAGTCATTTTAAATCAAGTGTTACAAAGTCGTTGAAGTTTCAAGGGATTTAAAATAACACTTGCAAAGCTGCTCAACTGACCAACTTGAGGCCAGTTTCAAAGTGGGCCCTGAAGCTGAAATTCGTTACTCTGTTTCGAGAGCTCTATTTCACTGAATATCTGATTTGCAGACTATCCCAGTTTCTTCTGGGAGCACATAAGAAAATTAGCTAAGCAGTTCAAGTTGCGGGAATGACTCAGTGGTTTTTCACCTGTCACCGGTGTGCTTCGAGGTTCGAGTCCTGCCACTGCCAATCAACTTTGATTGTCGGCAGCGATGCTGTCATCCGGTCTAATACCACGCCACTCCTTGGGCTTAGATTACCGGTTTTCATCACTGAACAGCGGGTCCTTATGGCAATGGGACTTTCCTCGTTTACTGTTCATTACACTAAGGTGTGTAACGAANGACCATAAATTCTCAAGTCAATCTAATGGAACGACTTAGTCATTTTTGCTAACCAATTCACTTTATTTTGTCTAAACAGTCCCACAGAGCACATTTCAAATAGAACGAGGAGTGGCGAACAAGCTCGTTTCCAGTAAATTCGTAATCATGCCAAATACATCACAATAAATATTAAACTGTTTATATATAAATCAGTATTCAATCATAAAAACGCAAACAAATGTGGGCCAGGGGAGCTTAAGCGCCTGCACAAATTGTTTTTGGCCACACAGAGGGGGATGGTGCAGCCGAATTCCTACCCCTTCGCTGTGGCTAGCATACGACAGCGAACCTGCCTTGATAATCGACCGCGAA